GCTGGATGTACAGTTACCACTATTGTGGTATGGGCTGCTGTGCATGTGAATGCGTTCATCCATTGACACCGTTGCGCGATGTGGTGCTTTCGCAGGGCATGGACACGGGCACCGCTATACCAGCAACTGCGGCCGCCGCTGACGCAACCGGAAGATATGCTGGCAGCAACAGCGCAGGTGGGGGCACTGGCGGCATTGGCGGCAACACTGCCGGCGTTGGAGGACAGTCAGTCGGCGCCGCAGGAGCCACTGCCGGCACCGAGCAGCAGAAGAAGGCAGCGGCGGCCAAGAATGCTCGTGACGCGCTTCTGGCGGCTGTCCGCGGCGACATCAACGCTATACAAGCGGCGCTAGGACAGATCCTCAAGAATGCAGCCCGCCAGGGCCGGGGCGGCCTGGGTGCGGGCGGCAGTGAAGATATGGCTGCCCTCGCCGCAGCAGCAGCGGAGGACCGGGAGAAGCTGAAGCAGCTCCAGGATCTCGTGATGGCGCTCATGAAGGAGCAGAAGGGCGCAAAGGACGACGCCGCGGCTGCCCGGACGGCAGCGGAGGCGGCAGCGGATCGGGCCGAGCAGATGGAGGTCGAGGTGGCGGCGGCCACCGCTGCGGCATCAGCTGCAGCCGCCGCTGCCGCAGCTGCTGTCGCATCGGCGCCAACGATGGAGAGCGCAGATGGCGACTTTGCGGCGGAGCCGGCAGGCAGAGCGTCTTCGCCAACGGCGACGGCAGCTGGCGCGGCGCGGCGTGCCAAGGCTGCGGTGAGCGGCAACCCATCTGGCGGATCTGGATCCGTATACGGGGCGGCCAGCGTGGATAAGTCAGCAGCCGCCATGGATGGCCCATCCGCCTCGGATGACTTATCACGAATGGCCGCGTCACTTCCCGCAGCTCTGGCGGAGCTGGATAAGCGCATCCAGGAGCTGCAGAACCGCCCGGCCGAGGTGGGGGCCCCGTCAGTGGCAGCAAACAAGGCGGGCAGTGGCAAGACAGGAGCGGCGACGTCACAGGCGGCCAAGTCGGTGGCAGCCGCGGCTGCGGAGCTGGCGGCGGCGACTGGCGCCATTACCGCCCGCAACCGGCAGCTGGGCGACCAGGTCAAGGCGATGGAGGAGCAGCTGAAGCAGCTGCTGGCCAACGTAGCCAAGCTGCCAGAGCAGGTATGAACTAGGCAGGTGGAGGGGTCTGCGGTGGGCGTCGGCAATGCGTGAATGTTTGCTGACGCCTCAATTTCGGCACTTGCCGCCATTCCTAAGGACGCTGTTAGTGGAAGGTGCTTTTTCTGTTGTGGCAAGATCGATGTTTTACATAATGGCTGTGCGTGCTTCTCTTGGGGGAAACATGCTACCCAATCCTACACCACCGATATGGATTGTGCACATCCAGCCGCCCATGTTTTGACTTAAGGTCTAGGTTCCCTCGTTTGTTTTCCTGTTCCCATGGTGTTAACTGTCCGGCCCGTCATACGAATTTCCTATGTTTCATACCGCAGGGCCCCGGCAAGGATGGCGCAGCAGGTGCAGTCGGCGCAGGAGGTGCAGTCGGCGCAGCAGGTGCAGTCGGCGCAGCAGGTGCAGTCGGCGCAGGAGGTGCAGTCGGCGCAGGAGGTGCAGTCGGCGCAGCAGGTGCGGTGGGTGCGACAGGAGCTACGGGTGCGAGAGGTGTAGCCGGTGCTGCCGGCGCCAACGGCGTGGCAGGCGCCAATAATGGTCCCATAGGCAGCGGCTCTCCTATCGAGCAGCAGAAGGCCGCTGCGGCCAAGGATGCTCGTGACGCGCTTCTGGCGGCTATCCGCGGCGACATCAACGCCATCCAAGCGGCCCTGGGACAGATCCTCAAGAATGCAGCCCGCCCGGGCCGGGGCGGCCTGGGTGCGGGCGGCAGTGAAGATGTGGCCGCCCTCGCCGCCGCAGCAGCGGAGGACCGGGAGAAGCTGAAGCAGCTCCAGGATCTCGTGATGGCGCTACAAGACGATGCTGCAGCTGCCCGGGCAGCGGCAGAGGCCGCGGCGCAGCGAGCAGAGCAGATGGAAGTTGAAGTTGCAGCCGCCGCTGCCGCAGCGTCGGCGGCGGCGGCCGCCGCTGCAGCGGCAGTCGCGTCCGCCCCACCGGCGGAGGCCGAAGAAGAAAGCGAAGCCGCGAATGCGGAGGGCTCGCTGTCCTCACCAACGGGAGCGGCAACAGCAGATCCCAAGGTCGCGGCTAGACCTGGAGTTGGGAAGGCTGGACCGGGCGGTAAGAAGGCCGCTGGATATGATGGCAGCGGTGGTGGCAATGCCAGTAGCTCATCAGCCGCCGTAGGTGGCCCATCCGCCTCGGATGACTTGTCCCGCATGGCCGCGTCACTTCCCGCAGCCCTGGCAGAGCTGGATAGGCGCATCCAGGAGCTGCAGAACCGCCCAGCAGAGGTGGTAGGGACAATTGGGTCGGGAACAGCGGCAGGTGGAGGTTCCAGTGGTGCCAGCGCGAATGCAGGCAAGGTGGATACCAAGGCAGGAGCGGCGCCATCGGCAGCGACGTCACAGGCGGCCAAGTCGGTGGCAGCCGCGGCTGCGGAGCTGGCGGCGGCGACTGGCGCCATTACCGCCCGCAACCGGCAGCTGGGCGACCAGGTCAAGGCGATGGAGGAGCAGCTGAAGCAGCTGCTGGCCAACGTAGCCAAGCTGCCAGAGCAGGTGAGCAATATCAGAGAAAGGGTTGCTTGAGGCCCTAGGTCTGGTAAAAGATCATGTCATCTCCCAACCTGGCATAGACCAAGGTGCGTTGTCGATCCGTGCCAAGGTCTAGGCTTGGAACCGCTGCGAGTGCCCGGTGCAAGACGCGTTGTATTGCTTTGGCCGA